AAGGCCGGGCGCGGTGGCTCAAGCCTGTAATCCCAGCACTTTGGGAGGCCAAGGCGGGTGGATCACGAGGTCAAGAGATCGAGACCATCCTGGTCAACATGGTGAAACCCCGTCTCTACTAAAAATACTAAAAATTAGCTGGGCATGATGGCGTGTGCCTGTAATCCCAGCTACTCAGGAGGCTGAGGCAGGAGAATTGCCTGAACCTAGGAGGCGGAGGTTGCAGTGAGCCGAGATCGCGCCATTGCACTCCAGCCTGGGCAAGCCTGGGCAGCAAGAGCAAAAACTCCGTCTCAAAAAAAAAAAAAAAAAAACTGGGACCAAACAAAAAAAATCACCTGGCCCGTAATTTAGGAAAACTCAGCCTCGTTGCTTCATCTCCTTGGATGAAAGGATGTCCCTTTGCACATTTTCTCTTATACACGTGACAATAGTAACTTCTGCTTGTGGTTTTCTGGTTTCACAATCCATGAAAGTTCACACAGTTGCCCAAACTCAATTACTTTTTACATGAAAGAGAATGAGGCTGGGCCCACTGGCTCACACTCCTGTAACCCCTACACTTGAGGAGGCCAAGACAGGAGGATCGCTTGAGTACAGGAGTTCAAGACCAGCCTAAGAAACATAGTGAGACCCTATCTCTAAAAAAAAAAAATTTTTTTTAATTAGCTGAACATGGTGGCTCGTTCCTGTAGTTCCAGTTACTTGGGAGGTTATGGTGAGAGGATCACCTGAGCCTGGAAGGTCAGTGCTGCAGTGAGCCAAGATCATGCCACTGCACTCCAGCCGGGGCAACAGAGCAAGAGCCTGTTTCCAAAAAAAAAAAAAAAAAAAGAGAGAGAGAGAAAGAGAGACTGAAAAATAAGGCCCTTTGGGCTTGAGACCCTGTCCTCTGCCTGGGCCAGTGCCCTTCCCAGGCCCTCGTGGACATCCACTCATGCCCTGTTGTCTGGGCTCTGCCTTGCCTTCATGAAACCTTCTAGACCCTGGCCCTTCACCAGTGTCTCACTGGTGGCTCATTGGCTGTCTCAAGGTGAGACAATAATAACCCTCAGGAAAGTTGATCATATACCTGCTTTGGATGATTCCTTCCTAAGGTTTATTTTTTTTTTTTGCTTGTTTTTAATGGATTGTCTTCTTATTGCAAACGCCACACGTTTCTAATAGAATATTTAATAAATAAAATCAAGAAAATTAAAAGTACCTGTGATCCTCCTACATAGGGTCTCACTATGTTGCCTAGGCTGGTCTCAAACTCTTGGGCTCAAGCTATCCTCCCACCTTGGCCTCCCAGGTAGCTAGGATTACAGGGTTGTACCTCCACACATTTTTTTGTTGTTGTTTTTCTTACTCATATGTATGTGTGTATACATATATATCTATAATATGTTATATATGTTTCCTGTGTCAGTAGTCCAATATCCAAAACTGTATTCTAACTGGCATTGTGCGTACCATGAGGTCCTTGCCCACCAAAATGTGTTTGATTTTAAACTTTCTGTCATAGGCTTTTCTGACATCTGACTACATTTTGCAGACCAAATTTTTTTTCTGCTTTTTTTAACTTAAAAAAAAAAAAAGGCAATGGAACACTTTAGAGAGCTGAAAGAGTATAAAGGACCTCATCTCCATCCCACTCTCAGTCTGAGCCTGTGCCATTGAGGTGCACTTGCACGTGCTGAAGTGGTCCTTTGGACTTTCTCATTGCCTCCTTGTCTCCTGCTCCTTGTGAGCCTTTGGTTCCTCATCCTCAGTGGAGAAGCACATCATTGCTTTGAATGACAGGTCAGCCAAATGCTGCCCATCTCAGGAGTGAATAGGTCCTCACTGAGGTAGGAGAAGCAGTGGCTTAGCAGGGGAAGGGCTGGGGCCCAGCAAAGAGACACATGAAGAGCAGAGATGTCAGGAGATCTATAGGCCCACCCCTAGGTCCGTGCTTGAACTGTTTTTCCTCCCAGGTGCCCTTCTTCTGCATAGCATCCACCAGGTTTCTCCTGGCCTTCCTAGGATCCCCACCCTCAGTCCTGCCTCCCCTTAGCTCCCCATGCACCAGTGGCCATGCCTTTCACCAGCCTCAGCAGCTTCACTGCATCTGCACCTGTCCACCCACCAGCTGTTTGAGGCCTGGGCTCCCATCGCTTCTTTGAACTTCCCACAGTGCTCAGTGTGGTGTAGACCTTCAGGAGAGAGTTGCTGCTTGACTTGTCTCGGCAGTTTCCTTAGCTGGAATCTTAATCTGCTGGAGTCATTTTCTTAGCAAAAGACAAAACCCCAGCTCCCTTGCATTTCCAGCACTGAAAGATTTTTCAGTTTTTTCAGTGACTGTTTCCTTCCCAGAATTCTTTTCTAGGAAAGGTTCTGACACCCAGTCTTCATCGCTTCTGCCCTGGGAACCCCTCACTTGGCCTGTTATAATCCATCAGTTCCACTCTGGAGAGACCAAGGGTGTTCTATCTGAAGCTCCAACTTGCCCACTCTAACAAACCATACTGTCACTCTGGGCCCATTCAGGATGTGGGGACAGTCTTGGTTTCTGTCCTGATGTTGCACTGACTTCCCTGATTGTGGTATCTCATGGGTGCCCACTGAGGAGTGGAGCTTGGTGTGAAGTAGACCTGACATAGGCGCCATGGCAGGAAGAGCGAGGGCCCGAGTCCAATCCCATAGTTACAGCTTGACCTCGTGTCAGGTGTGGTTCTTGTTTGGGAGCTGGGTCGAGCAGGCAGAGTTCCCAGGATGGCGCGTCCTTAGCTCCCTGCCGTCACTACTTCTTTCACCCCTTTGCTGGAAGCTGCTAGATCTTTTACTTTTCGCTTTGTGTTTATACTGTGTACCAGGCCAGGGCATCTGGTGCTGATCATGGTAGACACAATCATGGAGTTTCTGGTGTAGCACAGTAGTTCTCAGCCCTGGCTCTAGAGCAGAAGACTCTGCTGGGGAGTGTACAAAATGCAGGTGTCTGGGCCATACCCCCTGGTGGTTTTTTAATAGTAGCGCTGCATTAGAGTCTAGGCATCTGAATTTTTTTTAAGCTGCAGCATTGGTGCCAACGCCAGACCCAGAAAACAGACTACCATATACTGAGCACTTTATCTGTGGCAGTATCATCCGAGCCCTTTCTACAAGTTGTCTATGTCCAGTTTAACCTTCTCAGTAATGCTGGGAATTAGATAAGGTGAGTCCTGCCTCGCTGATGAGAAAACTAAGGCACAGATAGGCTGTCGGTTGGACACACCACTCGCAAATGTAGAACTCAGATTTAAAGCAAGGCCAGGGGACTTCCAAGCCAGCTCTAACCCCCTGTGCCACTGGCTGATCTCCCTTACTTCTTGGACCTATATTCCCAGCCACCTTCCTGGACACCTCCTCCTGAGTGTCCCTCAGGCACTTCAGACACAGCATATCCTAACTGAACTGGTTAGCTCTTCTGAGAACTTACTTCTGTTTTCTTAATGGCTTTAGCGTGCTACCACTTACCAGCTGCTAAAAATGGAAACCTTACTGGGGCTTATCTCCTCCCTTTTCGTTACCCTCTCCACTATCCCAATAAAAAGTTGGTTCCCTACACCATTTGTAGATTCAGATCTCAGAATTTCCTCTCCATTTCTCCATCGTCATAATTCAGTTTTTCCTTACTGGACCATTAACAGTAACCTCCTAAGCGGTGTCTGGGATTTTCATCTCTCCCTTTTTTTATCTGATCCACATACACAGGCAACTGAGCTCTCTTCCTGAGGCACCAATGTTACCTAATGGCTCTGGGCTACCTATAAAGAAAAATCTCATCCCAGCCTGGCATTCAGCGCGCCATACAGCCTGGCCCCAGCCCTGACACTGCATACCCACGGCTCAGCACACTGCTATTCCCCCTGTCTCCCGATATGCCGTGTTCACCCTCACCTCTTTGCCTTTACTCATGTCCTTCTCTGCTGGAATCCCTTTTCTCCCGCAGGTCTACCTAGCAAGCCTCTGTACATTCCTCGGGACGACCCTTGAACATCACTACTTTAAACTCCTCTGATTCCCCTGGTTAACTGGCTGCTGGCTTCTCTGTGCTCCCTCAACACAAATATCTTCCACAGCATGTAACCCCTTTTACTAGAATTGTTTGTTAGCCTCCAAGACACTATGAGCCTCCTGGAAGCAGGAACCTCGTTTGATTCTTGAGTCCATAGCAGTGAGCGTGACAACATAGGGCTCAGCACCAGGCAGGCTTATGGCTTATTAAGACCCTGCTTAGGCCTGTACACCGCCTGTTTTCCTTCTGTTTGGATGGGTGCATAGCCAGAGCAGAATCTTACGGCATTTTGTCTCTGCCACTGGCTCTAAAGAACGCTAAGTATTCACAAGCATATTCCAAAAGATAGAGGGGCAAATCAGAAATCAGCTCTGGCCAGACAGTAAGTCAAATGCCTGAGGGCAGTGGCTCCCAGTTGCTTGTGGATTCACTAAGAACCAAAGAGAGATTACCAGTTATTCATAACCATAGCACTGGTATAAAAAAAAATCAAACTTGATCCCAGCAAACAACCAATTAAAATGTGGAGCTGCAAATTTTGATCTGGGGAAACTGGACTGTTAGATAATGATGCTCACCAATGAAAACTCAGAAAGGGAGAAGCTGTTATCAGGAAATTTAATATAAACCAAAAAATAATCAGTGAGCCAAATCGTCGCTGTTATATAGGCAAGAATGGATTCAATGAAAATAATTTCAGTAAAATGAAAATATAAAATCAGGAACAATGTCAGTGTTTACTGTAGAAAATTAATCAAAGAATTCATGTGGCCTAATGGTGTTTCCTCAGAAAAAATTTTGGTCTATAAATGTTCCTTAATGTTGGCATAATTCTGAACACAGAGTCCACATGTTGTTGGTATCAAAATGTCCTGTCCATATGTGTGTGTGGTTGCTGCTTTCAAATAACTGTCCCCACTGTAGAGTGTTAGAGCTGAGAGAACCCCCAGCCCAACCCTGATACCTTTCATCTTTCCTACAGGGGGCGGTGCCCAAAGGAAATGCCACTAAAGAATTCATCGAGAGTTTACAGTTGAAGCCCGGGCAGGTGGTGTACAAGTGTCCCAAATGCTGCAGCATCAAGCCCGACCGAGCCCACCACTGCAGGTACACTCACTGGGGCTCACCTCCTCTCTACTCCTGCCTCCCTCCATCCCCACCAACATGTGCCTCCTGGAGTAGCACTTCCCCAAGAGGGGCCAAGTCAACATCAGGATTCCACATGTCCCCTGCTCTGGGCACAGAGTGATCATTGTGAGTCTCCTTCCTGGTCCCTGTGAGGCCTCTAGATTGGAAAGAGCATTTGGTTTGGGCTCAGGACACCTGTCCCAGTACTTGGCTCTGCCACACCTGACATAGGACCTGGACAGGGCTTTTGTTTTGATATATATAAAATTGAGGGGATTCCTGCTTTTCCTGCCTCACAGCTTTATTACAAAGGTACCATGAGAAAAAGCTTTAGAAAATTGTTCTGTGTCCCTCACGAAAACAAGCCCTTGACCTTGTCTAACTACCAGACCAACAAAGCCAAGCATGATGAGCTGTCCTATTTCTGACCCTGACTTTGGACAGGGCCCTTCCACCAGAAGGCTGATAATTAAGTGATTCTGCGTTGACTGGAGCGTGCACTAAAATAAATTTTAAATATTCACAAAAAAAAAAAGAAAAAGAAAATTATTCTGTGAATGTCTAGGACTTGAAGTGAAGGGATTGCCCTTGAATAAAGGCTTTCTTTTAAAACTTCTAAAATTCAACGAAAAAGAAAGCCATTTCCCCATCTTATCTGTGGTGAGTTTTCTCTGTTCTCAGGTTTCTTCTTTATTGTTCTAAGTTTTTCTGATGAGAAGACATATAAGCTAAAAGTGGTGCTTTATTGGCTGGGCACAGTGTCTCACATCTGCAGTCCCAGCCCTTTGGGAGGCCAAGGCAGGAGGATCGCTGGAGCCCAGATGTGCAAGACTGGGCAACAATGCGAGACGCTTGTCTCTAAAAAAAAATTTAATAATTAGCTGGCTATGGTGGCGCACGCATGCAGTCCCAGCTGCTTGGGAGGCTAAGGGCAGAGGATCACTTGAGCCCAGGAGTCTTGAGGCTGCAGTGAGCCAAGATTGCACCACTGCACTCCAACCTGCGCCACAAAGTGAGACCTTGTCTCTCAGAAAAATTCTATTTATTTATTTATTTATTTTGAGACTGGGTCTCACTCTGTCACACAAGGTCATAGCTCACTGCAGCCTCAGACTCCTGGGCTCAAGCAATCCTCCCACCTCAGCCTCCAGAGCAGCTGGGACTATAGGCATGTACCACCACACCTGGATAATTTTCTTATTTTTTGTAGAGTCAGGGTCTCACTTTATTGCCCAGGCTTGTCTCAGACTCCTGGGCTCAAGTGATCCTTCTGCCACAGCCTCCCAAAGTGTTGGGATTATAGGTGTGAGCTGCCTTGGCTGGCATATAGGGAAACTTTAAATGCTAAATTACAGAAATACAAAAATATCACTTGCTCCCCTTTTCAGTCTAGCGTATATGTGTGGGTGGGGAGGGGTTATCCATCATTTTTGTCAGGCTGAGCCTGTGGAGACATTTGGGTGTATGAGAGATCTGAACGGCGATTTCTGCCTGGCCTCGCTGCCTGTCTCTCTGAGGAGAGCGGCCGGTCTCCAGCACTCACATTCCAGAGTCAGCTCCCCAGTACCTGCATGCTGCGCCCGCAGCACCGCAGCCTGCCGTGCCTCAGTGGCGGTCATCTATTTTCATCTTCCTAGTCACCCCTGGCAATCAGGTTTGCTGCAGGGATGGCCTCCCTAGTTGAAAAAATTAGGGTTCAAAGGGTGAGTGCTCCTAGGTCACACAGCAGTGAGTACTAGTGACAGGTTTGGGTCCCGGTAGTTCTGCCTTTGAGTCTAGAGAGGGTTCTTTCCACAGGAACTCCAGTTCGGGAATGACGCGAGTAACTTCATGTAGTTGTATGCATGTTTTTCAGTGTGCAAGAGAGAGAGCTGCAGACCTCCCCAGCCGGTTGCCGCCTGCTTGAGAGTGAGGGCTGAGGAGCCTGGGCGGGGACCTGCGGTGATTGCTAGCTCCTGCGGGGTTTCTGTCTGTGGGTCAGCTTGCTTCTAAGATCTAATGCAAGGTTTGCCTCCTGTGCCTGAAATGGAGGCATCAGTCTGGTCTTTTCTTGCCACTGTTGGGCTCAGGACCCAGCTGTTAGAGTCTCTAACCGTCACTCAGATTTTTTTTAAAAAGCTTGCTTATGTGGTTCCTCAAGATAGATCAGTGTGGTGAAACAGGCTCTGGCCTTGAAGTGGGAGTGGTTGGTGTTGGAAGTCCAGCTCTGTCACTTGCCACACTGTGGACCTTCGGCCAGGTGCTGCATCTTTCTGAGCCTCAGCTTTCTCCTCTGTAAAAAGGGTTGTTTCTTCGTAGTTTGTTGTGAGGATTAAATATGAGTAACTGTGTGAGTCATCTAGCTCAACAAGTCTAAGCTATTGCTAATAGAAGAATGTGTATGGAGTTAAGAATGTGCTGGGTTTCTAAAGCCTGCGCCAGAACAGGGAGGTGTTAACTTTGTATTATAGAAAAGAACTTTTGGGTGGCCACAGTGATTCTTTTCTCTCCCTGAGCCCTCAGCTGCCTCCACCGCCTGGCATTTCCTCACCGCCTCCTCCTTGCCTCTCTCCCCAGGATGATCCAAGGGAGGTATTCTTGTCTGCTAGTAAACAAATCAGCTCGGGCAAAACAAGAGCTGCTGATTCAGATGAACTCAAGTGAGGATGCCTGTGAGTTGCCTGTTCTTGCCTCGAAAATGTATGCTGACAACTGCTCCTTTGTGATGGCACATGGTGGCTCAGGCCATCTGGGGACCCACAATTTTGGATAAGCAGAATCCCCATGACACCAGACAGACTGGGTTTGTTTACAGTCATTGAGCCCAGAGGGTGCCTGCCTAGTTAGAGAAAGTTGATGTTGACCATGCCCACTCAGGTGAAGGTGCATGTGTACACACGTTTGCACCCAGCATTTTAGAATTTGAGACTATCTCCATTCCCTTGTCTCTAGTGGATCCCACAGATACACCCAGACCTTGGGCCCATAGGTGTTCCTTCTAGCCCTATGGTATGTGGGGGTGGGGGGTGTCTTCCCTTCCTAGAAGAAACACTCTGAAACCCCATGCTCTTTCATCCTGGTGTCAAATCTCCTATTCATAGGGATCATGGAAGCATGTGGAAACTCTGTGGGAGGAGCCATTTATGCTAATGTGGATTGGCATTTGGCTTAAGCTTTCAGAGCTTGTCCAACCCATGGCCTGTGGGACACATGCAGCCCAGGATGGCTTTGAATGTGGCCCAACACAAATATGTAAACTTTCTTAACACATTATGAGATTTATGCACAAATGGTTTTTGTAGTTCATCAGCTATCTTTAGTGTTATTGTTTCTATACACAGACCAATACAATTCTTTTTCTTCCAGTGTGGCCCCGAGAAGCCAAAAGGTTGGACACCCCTGCTAGGTTCTTCTGCATGAGAAGGGAGAGACCTCTGACTTGGGCAGCTCCCTGCCTCCACACCGCAGACACACACACTGAGACTGAGATAGTCCTGGGCTGCTTAGAGCCCCTGACAGATTCTTGTTGTTTTGTCTCTCCCATGATTATGATTACTGTGAAAATTGATACAGCACTTGTTGATAAAGCATTTTGCCTACATTTTTGATGCTCACAGTGATTCTCAGAGTAATTCTGAGAATCATCTGAGAAATCATCTGACAATGATTTCAGAGTAATTCTGCTGAAGCTGATTGAGAACCTAAGTTTCTTTGCCCAGAACCCATAGTGAGGGCCTATTCTCACCCAGATCTCCTGTTCTTTCCACTCCACGGCAGTCTTTCCCAAAATCGTTTCTGAGCTGGAGCCAGGATGTGGTATAGTTGTCTTTTTTGCTTATAATTTTAGTCATAGCCAATGAGGGGTGAAATGAAAACCTGTATATGACACCATGGCTCACTTAATACCTTCCTGCTGTTTTCTTTTTATTTTCCCTACATGAGCATCCCAGTCTGATGTAGTTGAACTCATTTCCCAGGCCTGGTCTTTCCTGTCTGCGGTGTCAGAGACTTCAGTCAGCTGACCATTGCTAAAGGGGGCCCTGGGCTTGGCTCTGAGCTTATAAAAGTGGATTAGACCTGGCCCTGGCTCCAGGAGCCTCCCACCCAAGCAGGGCAAGCACACTTCTCCACCATGATACAGTTTGGTAAGTGCGGGTATAGGGAGAGACAGAATGCCCATGGAACGTGGCTGTGTTTCCGTGCTGAACCATCACCCAGGATGAGCAAGAGAGCCTCACCCAGCTCCTTTGGGGAGGAACACCAAATAAGGGCCCTCATATCTTCCGGGAGAGCAAACACACAAACCCCAGAGAAACTGAGTGCATATGAACCAGTGAGCTTGATGGATTCTACCAAGGTTTGGGGCCTGAGAAAATGGTAGGAAACCTGGAGGAGGGGGAGAAGGGAAGCATCTGCCTTCCACAATGATGACATAGAAACCTAGAAGGGGCCTGGGAAACCTGGAAGGCCAGGACACAAATAACCTCCATTTAGGGCATTTGGTTTTTTCGGTGACTGTTACTGCACACTTGGTGCCTGTGCCATGAGTGCTCACCAGCTTACAGCGTCTCGTCCACGAGACTCTGGATTTAGTGCTAGAAAGGAATACCAGGAGAGAGCTGTGGATAAGAAGGACCCTCAGAGGATAGGGTGGATTTTGCCAAGTGGAAAGAATGAAGAAACTCAGACATTGAGGCCATCCACAGCCAAAACGGGGAAGATGGCTGAGTGAGTGTGCAGAAGAGGCTCTTAGTCTGTGAACTGTGAGCCTTCCTTGGCCCTGTGTTGCAGCTGCCCTGCTATGCCTGGGGAGGGAACACTGCTGAGCCCCCTGCCCGTGTGCATGCAGTGGGGGCTGGGAATAGGGCTGCCTCTGAGGTGATTGATTCTCTGTGGGGTGTCAGGAGTTGTCAGGGGAGGCCCACATTTTTTCTTCTTCCTCATGACAGATGGTGCCTGAGGTGAAACAGCAGGGCAGGGTGTGGCATGTCCTTCACTGC